GGGGTCAAATCAGGAAGAGGTCGGAGGTGGGAGAGCGTTGGCCTCTCCGGACACGAGGAACCCTGCTCGAACTCACCACTCAGGGAGAGGAACACGACCAGCAAGCCGAAGCTCACGAAGATGAATCGCCCCATGGTCTTCCTTCCTTTCCTGCAGAGAGAACTGGGGGGGGGGAGAGAGAGGAAAGGGGGGGGAGAGGGGGGGAAGTCCAACCTGAGATCATGCAGCAGCCTTGGGGGGGTCAAAGTGAATCCTGCATTGCTCTGTAAAGGACAGAGAGACAGACAGAGAGAGTGGCAGGAGCGATGTAATGCAGGGAGCCTCACCTGTCAGGTGCCCACAGGTGGGAGAGCCGCACTCACCTGTCCCTCAGCCTCCACAGGTAGCAAATCTGCTCAGAGGCAACTCCAGGCTTTCCTCCTGGGAGGGGAACGGAGGCATTTATAGGCAAAGAAGGGGGGGAGGATTTCTGGGGGGGGGACGGTGGGAGAAAAAGCTCTGTGTGAGAACGGATTTTCGTGGCTACCGATCAGGAAGTAGTTGTGTTTGCACAAAAGAAGTTGACGGATTCACTCTCTGCCAGGACGGATGTCACGGAGGGAATCCTACAGTTTGAAATGTTCCCTGAGGTCATCCAGCCCAGCCCCTGCTCGGTGCAGCAATCCAAAGGAAAGCACCCCGGATCCTTCAGAACCTGCCGGAATGAACAGATCCCTGAGCTGGGTGTTTCCTTGCAGACGTTTCCTGACCCAACTAGAGAACATCATCAGTGCTAGAAGAGGGTGAATTTCTGGAGAGGAGGGGGGCTTGGAGGACTGATGGGGCTGCTACCTGCCATGCTTCAGTCTTGCCCCCCCCCAGTTTGGAAAAATCTCCGCCTGCATTTTGCCCCTGGATGGCACAGCTTGAACTGTTTTCTGCCCATGTCAGCAAAGGAGGCATATTTGATCTGGGGAGGGCCGGGGGGGGGGAAGCCCCCAGCCCCACATCAAAGACCCAGAGCCGGGGGGGGGGACACTTGCCACCCTCAACCTGCAACCTCCTTCCCCATCTCTGCTTTGCAACTGAGCAGAATCAGCCGTTCACCACCACTTGCCCTGCACTACAGCTCCCATGTTCCTTGGCCAGGAGGCCCTTTCGCTTGGCTTCTTGGGGGGGGGAGGTGGCTGCTCAAGCGAAACCCAGCCGTGGGGTCGACCCTCTGGGTGTTTGGGGGGGACGGAGCAAGCTGGGCCTCTGGGAACCAGGGTCAGGGGTTCAAAGGTGCTTCCTCAGCCTTAGCCCCTTCAGGCGGTCTGGACTTCACCTCCCAGAATCCCCCAGTCCCGTCCTTGTCCCTGTCCAGGCAGCAGCCCCGAAGTGAAGGGACCTCCGGCTTCTGCTCGGGGCCAGGTGTTGTGGGGGGAACCCTGAAAGTGGTTTGGCAAGACTCACAAAAGAGCAATTGTTGTACCAGGAAGGAGCTGCTGTTGTTCCCAAAACAGCGCCAAGCAAGGTTGGATCCCTTACAAGCCGGATCCAGGTTTGGCCTCCTGTCTGCTCAGCTGAGGGGCATCAGGAAGAGCGCAGGGGCTGCTGGGTCATTCGCCCATCTTCCTCCCCCTCG